ATTTTATGGGTATCGGCAGATTTTTTAGGGTCTCCATGTTCACTTTGAGAATCTTTAAACGATTCGGCAAACATCCAGTTCAGAGACAAACGTCCCTAAAGCTAGCAGCTTCACGTCAGCATAACCGCATAAATCATACACCAAAATCGATTGCTTTTTTATTGCTCATTTATTACACAAATTTGAATTTTATTGCTCCAGTCGTTTTAAAAAAAATCAGTGGCTATGCCAGCTTTAACATTAAATAAAAAAGCAATAAATTTTGGTGTATGATTTATGCGGTTATGCTGACGTAGCGCTAGCTTTAGGGACGTCAGAGACAAGTCTCGTAAACGATTGTTCGGGACTTTCGTATCGGCTTAATAATTTCACAGTTTGACGGAAATTCTGGAGTATGGAAATATCGGCCGACAGCTCGAGCCCCTTATCCTTTCTCGTTATCATTCGGGATGCACCGGAGGTCGCGAGGGATCACTGTTGGACCAGATCCCGAGGGATAACCGTCGAACCAGATTCCGAAGACAATGCCTCTTAAGCCGCGTTGTACGTCATCCAGGACACGTGTTCCCATCTCCCGGGTGAAGATTCATGGAAACAGGACGCGTCCACGTTACCGGTAACTACGGTGACCGTAGTTACCGTAGTTACCGTACCTCCGGAAACTGTCGCAGTTACGGACCGCAGGGACGGCGATCGAGCTCGGATCGGTCAAAAGTTCGCGGTTTCTGCAAAATCACCCCCTACCCCCCTCGTCCCCCCGCGAGGTTCCGGGCTTTTAAGCCATTTAGGGATAATTTCGCGAAATTACGACGTGCCTTAAGGACTCGAGTCCCGATTACCCCCGTTCCAGGGAAACTGCGCGTGCCGAATGGCTCGAAAGGGGAACGACCGATTCCACCCCCGGAATCGACGAGAAGGGGTGAAAGTCGAGTCTTTCGCATCCCGGGGTGGAGAACTTTTCCCTGGATTTCAATGAACCCTGAAATTTCCCTCGAATTTCCCTGAATCTCTCATCGGAGATTCGAATTCGCCACCCTTGCAGATTTTTCCCTAATTCTCCTCGGAGATGTATGGAAGGGTGGGGATTTTTCGAAGAAGTTTTCAGAGATTTTCTTGATTTTTCGGGGAAAAAATGGGGGGTGAGAGATAGGTTTTGATTCGAGGAAGAAGGCTTGAAACTTAAGTGGCGGTTTTCCACCCCACATTTTCGCCTTTTAAAGTGAAAGTGAATGAAATGAAAATTACCTTCAAGGGGTGGGCCAAACTAAACGTCCCCTGGTTAGCCCACCTGGCCAAGTGCCGACGAGATCGTCCCGGTGGCGAATTACGCGCTTTCTTCCCTGACCGTCGACAACCCCCGTCCCCGAAAGTCCCGCCCAAGAGTCGCGCCGTGCAAACTAATTTTCCACCCCTTCGCGAATTCCCGCGCCAGTCCCGGAAACGGCGGATTCCAAGATTGGCCAAACTTCTCGCCCGGAAGATAAACCCCGGGGCGAGGTTCCCGGAAGTTCCCGGGACTCGCCCCGAAGTTCCCAGGGACCCCGAAGACACCCCTTAACCCGACTACCGGATCCTAATCAGACCTGATACGCCCGATATATTTTCACAGACATTTTCAACCTACCCCGTTCCCTACGAAAAATTCCCCATAAATCCGTGAAATTAAATATATTAATTATATGTATATAACAAAACCTAATTCTTACCAATAAATTTGTCGATCGAATTTCAATGTCTCCACGTGTTTCGAAATAGCTGTCTCAAGAGCGCAATAATCAGGAGCAAGATCGATCGTGATGGACTTGCAAAAAATACAAAACAAAGCCTCGAGTACACAGAATCAAGACCAAGACCAAAAGTACCATAATTGAATTTCCTCATCCCTAATCAGAGGTCAGGGGAATTTTGGACAGGACCAAGGAACTCGATTCTCCCTTCACCGCGGATTCGCGCTGGACCGAGTCACACCCAGGGACAGATTGGGCGTTCCCTCGGGATTTTCTCTCCGAGGTCGACCCAGAACCCGACGGAGCGCACAAAGGGAATTGCGCACAGGTCACTGAAAGCTCGAGGACACCTTCCGGACGGGGGTGGAGTGCCCAAAGTCTGCGAGAGCGGTTGAAAAGGCACCCCCCGCGAGTCCTTACCCCAGACGTACGTCCGGGTTCAGGGGAACAGTTTGTCTCGGCTGGCAAAGGAACTCCGAAACAAGATCAACCGCGCCGGGATGGCTCCTTCGGGAACGTCCAATCGGGATGCTGCAACAAAGTCGATCTCGTTATCGGCCCGGAGAGAGTCAGAGGATACCAACAGGACGGCCCCTCCCAGATAAGACTGCAAAAGATCCTCCACCCTCCCGAAGATACGCCAATAAAAAGAATTCCCCGATTTCTAAACAGGATAAATAATGGCGCGACTGAGGTCACACATTTATTCATCCTCACACCCACGCCGTACTCTTCAGCAGAATGGATTTTTTTTTAATCTTTTTAGACCATGATTTCTTAAACAAAAATTAAAAATTAATTTTTTTAAAAACAGAAATCATGATGATTTTAATCGTTTAACCGGATAGTTCCGATCACGGGCCCTGTTTTTTCGCGGCGTGAAGGAAAGTCATTCCTCTCCGTCTATCTTGGGAGTAGAAGAGAAAATCCAATTTTTCCCGATACTGGGAAAAGTCGAGAGACACCCAAGGGTCAGAATAGTCCCGTCTCGAACTCGAAGATGCCGATCCCTCGGGATCTGCACGACAAAAGCCGGGCGGGGGGGAGGGGGCAGGAGTCATCTTCAGGATTTCGCATCGCGGAGGGGTAAGTTTGAAATATTGCTCCGGTGCGACGGAGCACTATTGTTGTCGCAACAGCTATCGGACGTATTGTCGTTTCAGGGCCCGACATTGTGCTCCCCAGGGGTGGGTGGCGGGGGTGTACCTGGTCCATTGTCTTTCGCCTTTTATCCGCGGTACCTAGGTGGCATTAGAGAGCCTCGCGTGTGGGGCGTATCCGCGAAACCCGTGAACTACGACCTCCTTTTGTCAGGACTCTTTTATGCGCCCTCCCGGGTCTCCCGGACTCGTCCTTGAGGACCCCCGGGTCGAGGTGATTTCCCTAATTATTTTTCCAGGATTCCGTTTTTTCACCAAAATGTCCCCTATTCGCCCTAAAATTACGGGATGATGTCCGTTTCGCGTTTCAACGTCCTCATTGTTATCCGACCGGAAAAATCTATTCATTGTCCGATGTCCATTGGTCACGACCTGGATGAGATATGTTTTGGAATTTTATTCTATCCCTCCTTATATTCATTTCTAGATTTTCGAAACTTTCCAAGGTGATCCTGAGGATTCCAGGAATTTCGAGGATACCGCGTGGACGCTAAAGGAACTTCGAGATTTCACGGGAGTTCCTCTGGATTTTTCTGCATTCTCATAGGATTTCAGGGGAAATAGTCAAAGCCATAATTACACACAATTGCGAAAATCTTGAAAACCCTGGATATTTATTAACAGTACATCTGAAATGTACACTCGAAAATTCCTGGAAATCACTGTCGAAATTTCGGGGGATCCTTCGAGGATGCCGGAGGAATTTCTAAATTTCACGGGAGTTCCCCTGAATTTTCCTGCATTCTCATAGGATTTCAGGGGAAACGGTGAAAGCACCTGTTCAAGATTTCCAGCCTCACCTGCGTACCCCGGAAGCGGGAAATTTCCACGAGGGAAAGCGATTCCGGGTTGGTAACGCGCTCCCATATTTACATACAATTTCTGGCGCTGCCGCCGCCATTCCGGTAACTGTAACATCTTATTCCGCTCTCCGTGCACCTTTACAGCACTCGGGTAATCGGATTCAACGAGCGTAAAGTGTCACCGGCTTGCGCGACCTAAAAGCGAGGAAAAGAGCCGAGCCGAGGCAGGAAAAACGCGCGAGACGAAGAAAAGGAAAGCGACTGTGTTCCCGTACCTCTCGGAGAGACGATTATACGCCGAGAGAGGATCGGAGGGAAGAAGAAAACAGAAAGGAAGAGAAGGGAAAAAGAGGAGGAACACCCCCGCGAAATTTGCGTAAATAAATTCGCCAGGAGGACGGGTTTTCATCGCGGCGTCGAACGGAGCGCGAGTCGGGCATTTGCATGTCCGTTTTCTCTCTTTCCTTTTTTCCCTTCCTCCTTTTCCTGTTTTTTTCTTTTTTTTCTCTCGCAACGATGACATGAAAAAGAAAAGAATACTGCGAGAAGGATGTCCCCACTGAGTCGAATTTCGATTGTAAACGATGGCGAAAAATATGGCGATTAAGAACGGTGCCTATCCGGCTGCGGAAACTGGGAAATTATGTACTGCGGTCGCCGCTGCGGTTAACCGAGAGGAAAAATTTCTCGCAATGAAATGGATATAATGGTAATGAAAGGGTTAAAAGGTTTAACGGCGCGTAATTCCTCGGAGAAGTGGATAAATTGTGATAATAAAGAACGGCCCGCGTCTGGCGACGTTTAAGTACGTTTTCAGCCGATTTGGCGCGATAATCGATAGAATTTATATAAGTTTTTAATTTTTATGGTTTTATTTAAGGGTTAGAGAGGGATCAAATTTTCTGTATTGGGGACAGAAACTGGGAGACCAGGATTTATGGAATAGGATATGTAGAATATACTGGATATACAGGACGAAATGGAGGAAGATAACATTTTCGGCACGGCGACGAAATTCCCGAGGGCACCAAGAAAATCGGGCGAAGAGAAACGGGGAAGAAAGGGGTGATCTAATTAATTTCTGAACCGGGTGTGAAAACAGGAAACCCAAGCCAAATAACCCGATGTGTCATAGGTCAGAATTTAATTGAGTTGGCGATCCCAGCCTAGCTGCCAGGACCAATACAGCAAGGAGGAACAATGAGCCTTGATTATTCACTGGGGGCTGATCGCGCCCCTTTGAGCGTATAAATAAATAACAGGGTGGCCGAATTTTTCCGGCCAATAATGAACTGAGGAAAAAAACTTACAAAATTAGCAGGAATTGGCGAGAACCGAGAGAAGTTGAGCAGCGACTGGCCAAAATCCTGGAAATTTAAGATGTCAAAATTAATTCACAATGACTCGTAAAGATAATAAAGATTTACAAATTGGAAGGGAGAGTAAATAGGATAATGCTCGTAAAGACTAAAATCGCGCAAGAATATCGTCTCGCGTATTCTTTATTCTTTTGTAAGGGAAATGAACGTTCCAACGCCGAAATATCGGGTTCCATTTTCGCGCCGCAATTACCCGGGTTGCCTTGTTTAATTAGCGCTTGGAATTACCGTCGTTAATTGCACGTTGTGAACATCCGACAAGATTCCGGCATTGCGGATAATTATCGGAGAAATGACTCCACCGGATCCTTTCGGCCGTAAGTCGCGACTTCTGTTATAATTAGAGCACTCAATTACCCAGCTATTTACCTCGGATAGCATTTCCGATAAATATGGATAACGCGTTGCGAGATCGAAAATTCTCAAATGTGCGCACACAAGACGTTGAAAAATACAGTGCCTAATTAATTCCTCCCGCGCCCTGGATTTTTTTCTCAGTCACTTCGCCGAAATAATTAGCGATAATTTGACGGGTTAAAAATTCGAGGGTCTTCGATTAAATCGCGCACTTGCTTCTTGGGTCTATAAGCTGATTTCTTCGGTGCAGACCTTACCGGTAATTGGCGGGTTTAATTAAACGACCCTTAAACTGCCAATAAACGAGGCCTCCCTCTTCCGGCGATATATCGAACGACCCGTCCGATGCCTCGGAAGAACTTAAAACTTCTTCGGGGAATTCGCGATCGCAATTAGTGTCCTTAATTAACGTCTCAATTACTCCCGTCGAGCACGAGGGGGAGGGAAACTTCTCGGCCATTGACGCGCTTCATTTCAGGCGACCTCCATTTTCCCGGGGAAATTTTCATCCCGGAAAAGAGTCCTCGAAACTTCCCCGAGTGAAAGGCCCGGCTTTTAATTATTTACGAGCCTAACGTTCAACGGAAAGCATTAACCCCGACATTTTAACCGGGAGAACTGAGGCTGACCGTTGACCATTTAATAAAATATTTATTAAAGCTAATAAAGTGCGAGTAATTGCGTCTCTCTCGGAAATGACATAATTACAGGAACCCAGGAACCAAAGACCTCTCTATCTTTGTCGGAAAATTCCACTGCCCGAAATTACCCCGAATTAAATATCCGACTTTTAATTATTAACAGGCGCAATACATTTAATGGGAAATTTCTAACTCTGACATTTAACCGCCAGAAGGGAATATGAATTTTGGCATTCTTGTAAAATTTCAGTTAAACAGAATCTTGAGTAATTGGGTTTATTGAGTTTATGAAATATTCGCGGAAAATATCTGGCGCGCCTTTCGTTTTTTCTTTTTTTTTTTTTTGGGCGGGGGGATTTTGTTCCGTGGAAAGTTGTTACTTTACACTGTTTTGTTCCCCTGTAATTTTCATATTATTTCCATTCGTTTACCTTCACAAGATAATGTGGATTTATGCGAGCAATCGCGTTACTCGTCGGCGCGCCGGAAACCGCGCTTTATAAAACCGCGAGCCGTAATCGCGTGGTCGCGGAGGCATAATGCCGAGGCTCTTCGGCCATTATGGCTGCAAATTACGTCTTTACGGTGCCTGTAATTATAAGAACGGAAAAAGGGGACTTCTTTTGCCAGCCGGTAGATACGTATCATTACGGTAACAAAGTACATGCTGCTACAAGGGGCTGCGATAGCATCGCCCGAGTGCGTGGCGTATGAAATGGATCTCCTAAGCGTTCCCGACGTAACGCGTTAATTGCAAACTGCAATATTTAATTACAGGAATCAGGGATGTCTACGTTGAGTTTTTACGAGGGAAAATAAACGCACGGCAACTAACCTGCCAGCAGGGAGGATGAATCGAGGGTAAGCCCAGATATCGTTAAAATGTATCATTTTCCCCGACATTGAATTTTCCTCGTTGAACTAGAAGAGTAAGAAAATTCTGAATAATTTCTAAGCTACTCCGTAGATCTCTCCGAAATTTTCACGTCACATCCTCTCGCGACTTTCGACCGTAAGTGGCGGAAAAGGCCGAAGATCAGGCCGAAGCTTGAATCCAGGTCCGTTTATTCCGCGCACGTTGCCATAAACTCATTAGCCAAGTTAACTGTTAGGTACTTGGCTGAGTGTACGTGTAGACAGAATTCCTCCATCCCTCTGGCTGGCCACCCACCACCCACTTCCTCCTAGTGGCACCATGTACCACCCACTGCCACCCATAGCCACCTACCGTCACCCACCACCCAATTACCGCTACCTATTTTCCACCTGTCGGTACCCACCTACCACCTACTGTCGTCTACTGCCACCTACTGCCACCCACTGCCACCCACCACCCACAAAGCCACGGAGGGTGGGCGCAGAAACCCATTAGGGCGCTTTACAGGAGTTGCTACAGTTATCTCTCGATGTGATATGATCCCCGTCGTCAGGTCGGACTGCATCCATTCCCTCAGGAATTAACGCGATCCATGTATGCATCTCTAATTTCTTATCATTCGATCAAAAACGCGATTAACGAACCCTTATTAATAGAAATTAATTTTTGTATACAAGCTTCTTGAATTATGGACGCCGCCTCATTTAATTGCCGATCTCTTCGATTTAAGTGAGGTAAGACTTTTCCTTTAGCTTTCAATATTCCCGGGGACAAATCGAGTTTGGAAAGTTCCGAAAGGTCGAGATCCAGAATAAGGGAAGGTTAAGGGGAGATTTCTTGCCGACTCGGTCGACAATGACTTTCATGGCGCAAGATAAACTCGAGAGGTATCTTTACGGCCGAGTGTCGGCAGGATTGAAGTGCCGACAGGAGTAATTAGACCGTAACCTTTAATCGCGAGGCGTATCGGAGCCAACGATCGATCTTCACGGACGTCCCAAGTGCGGGACGATCGTCTGCCAGAAAATTGCACCGCGGAATGCATCCTAACGATCGCCGCGATTTTGCGGGCGAAAATAAACGCCGTTAGCGCCGCAATTACGCCGAGAGTAACTGGAGCGCGATCAAGCATAACCAAACAAATAGAAAATGGGCGCGCTTTCGTGAAAAAGTACTTCCTTGTTCGAAAGGCTTTCTAACGGTGATGCACTTCCTCCTCGAGAATTGTCATGAATTGTGCAAATGTTAAAAAAAAAATTGTCAAATACATTGCCAAAAAATCGAGCATAATCGAAAAAATGGATGATGGGCGCTCTTTCGTGAAAAGGACTCTCGAATGGCGATGCACTTCTTGAGAATCGAAGAGGGATTGTGAAAATATCGAAGAATAATATGTTTTGTAATGATTCGTTGTTAATATTGTTTAATATTTGCCCCTTTTATGTGACCCCCTGAAACAACGAACACTGTCCTCGGCTTGTGATGATAAACAATGGCGATGCACTTCTTGAGAATCGACGGGGATTGTGCAAATATCGAAAAATAATATATATTGTAAAGATTCGTTGTTAATATTGTTTAATATTTGCCCCTTTTATGTGACCCCCTGAAACAACGAACACCGTCCCCGGCTTGTGATGATAAACAATGGCGATGCACTTCTTGAGAATCGACGGGGATTGTGAAAATATCGAAAAATAATATATATTGTAAAGATTCGTTGTTAATATTTTTTAATATTTGCCCGTTTTACGTGACCCCTTGAAACAACGAACACCGTCCCCGGCTTGAGATAATAAACAATGGCGACGCACTTCTTGGGAATCGACGGGGATTGTGAAAATATCGAAAAATAATATATTTTGTAAAGATTCGTTGTTAATATTTTTTAATATTTGCCCCTTTTACGTGACCCCTTGAAACAACGAACACCGTTCCCGGCTTGTGATAATAAACAATTAACCGTTCCGTTGCGGCGGTCTACTGTTCGCATAATCAGCCGTGCAACGATAGCGTATCACGGATTAATGGCCGAAGGCCCTATCGAATCCTGCCAGGAGGGCAACCCTGACCTACCATATCGGTTGTCGAGCTCGACGAATTTCCGATAGATCCTGGCAGTCGATGAAAAGCCGCCAATCACGGAGAGACATAAAAGCTACGTCAAAGCTACGTGATAAGGCGAACGTATCCCAGCGTGCATTGGCGTGTTGCAATTTGATTTATCTATTAAAAAAAAAAAAAGTAAAAAGATTACCAAGAAGATTACAACCAAAAAAAAATGTATCGTCAGTAGAACGACCACGTCACCCTACACTAAATAAAGAATAAAACGCAGGGCAAGAAACTCAAGGAGAGAGAAAGTCCCGATAAATATTCCGCACAAGGTCTGATAAGTATAGTAATTATTATTTCTTTTTCCTTTTTTTCTTTGTAAGTAACAACGATTTCGTACATAAATCGTAGGCATCGAGTTACGGCTGGGAGGTGCCTCGACCATGACCTACCGCATCGACTTGCAGATCTGGACGTTCAAAGGAAAACAAACTACCGTTTTTTAAGGGAACCTCCTTTGTCTTACGCAAACGGATATTTACCCCCTTCCAAGAGGCAGCCCAAGGCGAGCGCAAGCTCTCGCTGATTTGCATTCGAGGGAGATTTGATTTACTCGATGTAAACATCTGTACGTGCAACATCGGCCCCGAGCCGATCCAGACTTGTCGGAAGTTTTGAACAAACTTCGGGAAAGGAAAGCACCGCGGGGGCACTTCCCCTTTGTAACTCCCCCGCTCCAGGATCGATTCCTCGCCTGCAGGAAGCTCAACTTCTCGAAGGCCTGGCGAGTGTTTCGAGAGAAAGAAGAAAAAAAGAAACAGAGAACCCCCCTCCTCCCCCCTCACCCCCTCAAAAAGTTCAATCCGAAACAGGGGAAAGTAAAGGCGAGCGTTTTTCCGGATTTTTTTCCCCCTTTTTTATTCTCTTCCTCTTCTAGATTTGAAAGCTCCGCTGAACCGTTCCCATTTTTACGGACCCTCTCGGCCTGTTTCGATTTTTTATAAGCCGGCGCCACGGAGAGCGGAAAGCTCGAGCTTCACAAAAGTGCAGTTTCGAGT